CCTCTTCTACCAGATTGGAGTTATTTTATAGCAGTTAAGAGATTATTCTTGTGGAGATAAAAGATTATTCTTGGTGGAGATCACAACTTATTCTCAAGGCTTCTTTATCGCAGCTAAGAGATTATTCTTGGTGGAGATCACGACTTATCCTCAAGGCTTCTTTATCGCAGCTAAGAGATTATTCTTGGTGGAGATCACGACTTATCCTCAAGGCTTCTTTATCGCATCTAAGAGATTATTCTTGGTGGAGATCACGACTTATCCTCAACGGAAGGAGGAGGTTGGGGAGCTCTTCATGAAACGTGGTCAAAGATTGGACCGTTTCCTTCGGTGGTGCAGATAAGCTTCCCATGCTCTCTTCTTGATGACGTGCTAAGCAAAAAGTCTAACCGGTCTTGGACTGTCTTGGACTTGGTGGATTTGGACCGTTTCCTTTGGTGGTGCAGATAAGCTTCCCATGCTCTCTTCTTGGTGACGTGCTAAGCAAAAAGTCTAACCGGTCTTGGACTATCTTGGGCTTGGTGGAATCAAAATGAGGTTAGGCTCCTCAACTGGGGTTGGACTTTAACACATAAATTGGACTATTTGGGCTTCACCCATCAATTTATAGAAAAAAATTGTTATAAAATGTTAATAATTATATTTTATAAAAATAATGCACTTAAAAGAATAAAGAATTTCTATCTAATTAAGTATCTCAAGTAAGAAGCTTTCTTTTGTTTGTAAAATTTTGTTAAGATATTTAAATCTCAAAACCAACCTAGACCATCACTAGCAAAAAAATCATATTTAGTCAACTCTGAATATTATTTTAAATTGCTATCGACTAATGAGTTTAAAATTTCAAATTAAATATAAAAATCATTAAATTAAACTCAATATTTATCTAGTAGATTCTATTGTCTCGTCATTAAATTTTTTTTTATGGGGGAGAGGGAGGGGGCAGTTGGGACCTATGGGAGTGATTCGATGCCTAATTGATTTTTTTGGCATTGAAATTTATGATTTTTTATTTTTTCAAATGTTAATGAGTTGGACTTTTTAGCACTGATGGATTTAGGAATTTAGTGTAAGAACAGTCTTTCAACTTTTTTTTTTTTTGAAGTGAACATATATATAGTTTGAAAGTATTCATAACTATCGATATAATATTTATAGAGATTTTTCAAACCTTAGGAGATCAATCACTCCCATATTTATCATTTTAGTGTAGACCTCGTATGTTACTATTTGCCCAAAAATAAAGGGGTGCAATTTTATAATTTTGATACCAAATACTAGATTCTATTACATCGTTTCCAATGAATTGGTTCGGATTTATGTTTTTCATAACACCAAAAATTCTGTGATATCCTCCTTGTAAAAGAATGGACATAGATATTACACACTCCACCTTTGCGGTCGTTTGATTTCTCAGTCCATATTAGGTCATAGTCATTGAACTTGCACCGTAATTAAGTTCACATGCGATCGTAAGTTGGTCTACATTGGGTTCAGGGGCGGAGTCAGATATCTTCCCCGGTGAAGGCAACCTAAAATATATAATATTAAAATTTTAAATGTTCACAAAAATAATGTTTCATTAATAAAAAACCAATTAAACAAAAAATTTTGAACACTGGGCTCAATCATATATTGAGTATATGCATGGGAAGTTCCAAATTATCGAACATCCTATAAATCTTAGATCTTAGATAGCAATACAAGCAATAAGCAGAATCTTTTATAATATTGTACTAATGGACCTTTAGTCCAATGGTATTCCTTGACACTCCTTGGCTTGTGAATGTTTTGTCTTCTTGAGATCAAGGGTTTAAGTCCCGCTTCTCCCTATATAATAAAAAAATATATATATATATATATATATATATAATATTGTACTCTAAAAAATAAAACTATAGAAGAAGACTACAAGCCCCAATTTCATTTCAACCTAGGAAAATAAATATAGAACTACAGTGGAGGCATTTAGCCTTTTAAAGCATTTTGTTGACATTTACAAATGAGATCCATATATTTGTCAAAATAACATAACTACATGTAAATCTTTTAAAAAATTCAGTAGGGCAAATCTCTAATAAATTTAAATTTTTTGAAATTATACTTACTCTCCAAAAAATTTAAAAATTCCAGTGGGACAGTTGCCTCCACTGTGTATCCGCCAATGATTGGGTGATAACCTTTGAAAATTTGATCATAATCAAGTGGGGCATGTTGTGTATCATTAGATTTTTCATTCTATAAAGCTATATATTCTATTTTCTACACTTAAAACTGAAAAAAAATAAATCTGGCTCTCCAAAATGGTATTACTCCATTTTGAAGAGATACTGATTATAACGTGTTATTCTAACATATGAGCATTTGTTATCGCTCTAACTCCTACCTCTATATTTATATTTCTTTTTTTCTCTTCTTATGGATATATTATGTAAATCTAATAGGCAACATTTGGCTAGGTAAAGGATATTAGTGGGATTATATTAACTCACTTGAGCCAACCCAAATTCAAGCGGGCAGGTTACTACCATCCCTAGTTGATCAACTCCCCCGCCATAAAAAAATATTTAAAAACAAAACTTAGAGCTATCATGTACAAGTGACGTACGGATTATTACATAGGCAAATCATTTTTAAAATCTCACCACAGGTTTATGGAATTGATTGCACCAATGAAAACAAAACTCATATCAAACTCTGTGGATTGAATTTTTCATCTGAGTTCTGTAGGAACAAGTCAGAAAGATTGAAAAATATAACTAGCTGATCTTGATTTTGACATACAGGGTGAATAGGCATGGGGAACTCCGACGAGCTCATGATCTTGTCACCTCTCGTAAGAAGGAAGGATGTTGAAAGGAGGGCGTGGCTTGTTGTTCAAGCGATTGGAAAGTCACATATTGAAGAGGTTGGGAAGCAATCGATTATGCGCAGAACAGGAATTCCAGCGCGAGATCTTAGAGTTCTCGATCCTAAGCTTTCGTACCCATCCACTATACTTGGAAGGGAGCGCGCCATTGTTCTGAATTTGGAAAATCTTAAAGCAATCGTCACAGCAACTGAGATGCTCATTCTGAATCCAAATGATCCTGGTGTTGCGCCTTTTGTCAGTGACCTTGAGCACAAACTCTCTAGTTCTGATGGCTCCCAACCTATTGTGAGTAGATTTTCTCTTTATAAATCATGAATCAAGTGTTTTGTTAATTTCATGAATCTTTTTAGAATTTTTTTTGTTAAAATTGGTTATGAAAGTAGTTTTATTCGGTTAAAGATTTTGAAAAAGAGTGAAGCAAATGCTAGTGTGTGGTTACCCTAAGATGAATCTTCTTCATAACTTTTGATTTGTTAGTAAAACTTCTTTGAAATTTATCTATTTGCCAAATTGTCCCAAAACAACTAATATGATCACTGTTTTGATTGGTAATAACCAAGACAAAATCTGGGGATGATAGTAGCTCTTATACTTACCGATAAACACTGATTCTAACTCTTTTAGTCTCATGATTTATAAAAAAAAAAAAAACGCACTATCCAAATGGTTAGTCTTTTAGTCTAATAGTTTAAATCAATTTCCTTCTATAAAGCATATATCCAAATCGTTTGTGTCAGTTAGAGGTGTCAATTTTAATCCATTATTTATTAACCCTCTCAACTCGTTGTCCATAAATAAATGGGTTAATTAAACGGGTTAAAATAGATTATAAATGGGTACCCATTGAGTTGAGTATTTATTTTTGTATTAAAAAATAAAATTAATAAAATTAAATACACATAATAATACACCAAAAAAATACACACATACTAGTACACCAAAAAAATGCACTAATATACCCACAAACACACATATGTACCAATACACAACAAAACAAAAACACACACATACACACTAGTACACCTAGACCGGACCTGGACCCTGACCCCGAGTTGGTGTATTTGTGTGTGTGTGTGTTCTAGTGTATTAGTGTATGTATTTTTTTTTTTTTTGGTATTAGCATCTATTTTATATGGTGTATTAGTATGTGTTTATATCAAGGGTTTTAATTATTTTACGCGTTAATGAGTTTAATTCAACCTATTACGATTCAACTCATTATAACCCGTCTATTAATCGGGTTGAAAATAGATTGAATTTGTTTTACATCCAACCCTTTTTAAACCAACCCTTAACCAACTCAACCCGTCTATTAGACACATCTAGTGTCACCCAACCACAATCTTAATTGATAGCCCTTTCATGTGTGAAGGCAATTCAAGAAAGTGACGAGGATAGAAAGGACTCACCCTCTGGTTTGCTTCCTGAACCAAGTGATGACAGACCCACAAATCAAACAAACACATCGAAAATGGGTGGTTCAAAGGTCCTACCTTTCGAGTTCAGAGTGCTTGAAATATGTTTGAAACTTGTTTGCAAGGGCCTTGAATCCGAGGTATGTATCAACTTCATTAAATTTACCTACATCAACAATGTAGTTTGTTGGCTTAATAATATTTTGGTCCCTAAAGTATGTATGTTTTGTCCGTTTTATCCCTAAAATATTATTTTTTTTTATTTGGTCTTTAAACTATTCAATTCATGTTTAAATGGTTGTTACACTCACAATCCGTTAATTTTTGTCGGAATGATCATGTGTCAGTCACGTGATATCATCTGAAAGAATGACACGCGGTCACTTCCGTCAAAAAACTTAACGAATTATCTGATTAAGGACCAAATTGATATAAATTAAAATTTTGGAGACCAAATTAAAAAAATCAATATAATAAAGACCAAACTCATAGAACGGCCATATTTTAATGATCAAAAGTACTATTTACCCTAGTTTCTTCTTAAATGGATTTGGTTGTTTATTTCAGACATCCACATTGGAGCAAGAAGTATATTCAGCTTTAGATAAATTATCCATTAGTATCAGCATCCTTAATCTCCAACGTGTCAGACTTATAAAGAGTCGTCTGGTAGCTTTGTTTGGCCGTGTCCAAAAGGTAATAGTGATAGCTTTACTTCGAAATTTGGATATTCTAATCAGGGGCAGAGTTGGACAACTTTTTTAGTGGGGGCAACCTTAAATATATAACTATTGAACTCCAAATGTTGACACTGTTTTCACCAAAGCATTGTTTTATTAAAAGAATGTCAATTAAAGACACCACTTTCATATACGAGAGAAATACAAAAAATCAACAAAAAAAAAAATATTATGAAGTTATCATCTATAGAATCTAACAAGAACTTTTTATAAATAGTTGATTAAAATTTTTTTTAATCAACCACAACTTAGCATGCGTTATTCATACAGAATACATCAAAATAGTTTAAAAAATTGAACAATTTTTAACATAAATAATTTAGAAAAATCAAATTTATCACAAGTCAATTTAATCAATCTAGGGTCAAATTTTTTTAACTAAATCAATCTTAGATATAAGAATAACTTAATTCATTCCAATCAATTTACTCAAACCTAATCAATCAAAATGATTTAATCCAAAAAATAATTTATAACACATATATTCCAAATATAAAAATCCAATTATTTGAAAACCCTAAACACTGGCCCAAGAATTAAAACATATAATAATGATCAAAATCAAAGAAATCGTTCATGGTTTACCTCTCGACAATTCAACTTTGAAAGAATCTCCTAAATTCATCCTTTTAAGCTTTCTCCCCAATTGATCTTGGCAATAACAATTGACGTGGAAAATAATGAGTTACCACCAAAGAGGGAGTAAAAAACTGAGGAGAACAAATTTCAAGAGTGTAGAGCTAGAACAAAGAGAGAGCCTAAGGATCCTTGGACGTCGAGCAGAGAAAAATCACAAAGGAGACGCACAGAGTTTTGGCCGGAACAAAAGAAACAGGACCTGTGCCCTGATAAAGTAACTTGTTACTTTTTCTAACGTTTAAAGGAACCCCACATGTTTGAAAATATACATTACTACCCTTAAGTTTAAAAGATTTTCAGTGGGGACAATCTTTAACTAATTCTAAAACTTCAAAAAATTTCAACTACACCCAAAAATTTTTCAAATTCCAGTGAGCTGCCCCCATTGCAAATCCGCCCCTGATTCTAATTGATACGTATTTAATTAGCTAATAATGTTGCTAGAAATCGTGTATGATATTGAATTATATCGTCATGATTTTTTAGATTCGAGATGAACTTGAACATTTGTTGAATGATGATATGGACATGGCTGAAATGTACCTAACTGACAAGATTGTTAATCAGCAACTTGAACAACTGGAACCAGATGACGAAACTGAGAATGATGCAGATATAACAGATTATGACAAGTAAGTTTCTTAACATACTAATATCTCCTGATATTTCAGGTATACTATGATTTAAGGTTGTTGGTTTGGAATTTCACAATGATTATTAACTTGATCAAATTTAATTTTTTTTTCCCGATTATCATACACAAGGAGGTACGTGCATATTTTGTGTTTTTGTATGCATGTGACATTGAACATAATACTAGTGACGGAGACACGTGGAACAACAAAAGCAGATCGGCCATTCTGACAACTCAAAAGCCAAGGATCGAAGAGTTGGAGATGTTATTGGAAGCATATTTTATCCAAACTGAGGGAACATTAAGTAGATTATCAACTGTAAGTTTGCATTTCCCCTCTTATCTAAGGTTTTATGAGCTAGGATATGTCACAATCATCCTGTTAAATTGTTTTCTTCTAACAATTTTCAAAGGTTACCCATTGTTGTAGCTCAAGTTTAGATTTGACAAACAAGCATTGAGGCAAGCCCTATGAGCAGACTTGGAAATTCTTAATATGATCAATTGCTAATCTCTTATGAGGTACTAGTTAGAGTCCCGGGTAGCTAAAGCAGTAATAGAAACTAGATGTAAATGCAGACATCTTTAGTTTAAATCTTGACAACCCTTTAGAGGTAGATAGAATTTAATCTCCCATGAATATCACAGTCCCAGTGTAGTTGACCTGCCTTTAACTAGACCCGAGAGGAGATTAATTAAGGTGCGCGTAAGTTGGCCCGGACAATCCTGACCTTTGAACCAAAAAAGAGAAAAGAAAAAAGGTTAATTACAATTTGCCCCCTTCAAGTTTAGGTCATGTTGCAATCAACTCCCTCTGGTTTCAATTTCAACAATTTGTCCCCTTCAAGTTTTAAATGAACTATATTCTATAATTAATTGAAGAAAATTTGTAAAATTACTTTTGTACCTTGAGACTTTATTGACACCCAACTTATTTTCTTTTTTTCTTTCTCCTTCCTTTGCCCATATTGGCGACCAGCTCCAACGCCACCGCCCCCTACACAGCCTTCACTAAGCAACTACCACCACCACCGTTGCCCCCAACACGGCCTTCACCAAGCAACCACCACTACCACCAAAAACTACCAAACCAAGCAACACCCACCAGCTACCAAACCAAGCAACACCTACCAACTACCAACCAACCAAAAGGAACAGAGAGAATCAAGAAAGAAGAAGCCCACTGCAAATGTCATCTACTTACCTTATCCACCATGGATGCTGGAAAATTCCCAAGACCCATAGCAAATGGGAAGAATCTTTGGAGAGAGAGAATTCATTGACACCGAAATGGGTTTGGTTCGATTGTTCGATTCACGCTTTTCGTTTGATATTCATCCTCTATTGACACCGAAATGAGTTTGATGTTCGTAACAGGGCCTTTTGATTGGATGGATGGACAAGGGGAACCACTAGGGGAGAGGGTGGTGCATGATGGGTATCACCTCCCTTATACTGGTGGAAAGTTGAAGAGAGAATCCATGAACAATCCTTCGCACTCTCTCTCTCTCTCTGGCGATGGAGATTTGGTTGTTGTTGAATGGGAAGGGATTGATTTTTTTGAAAGTGAGGAAAAATATGATCTAAGATGGGTATTTTTTTATTTTCAACAAACTCTTAAATCATTTTATTTTAACTTTGAGCTAATTATTCCTCAAATCCTAAAGATATGAGTTAATTGCAAAAAATTTAGAAGTGTGAAGGGCAAATCGTTGAAATTGAAATCAAATAGAGTCGATTACAACATGAGCCAAACTTGAAGGGCAAATTGTAATTAACCCAAGGAAAAAAAGAAGATACTAATTAGGGGTTTGGGTCACAACCGAATTGACCGGTTAAACCTATTTACCAATTCAATAACAAAAGAATCCAATCATATAACACACAAACTCAACTATACACAATTAATATACGCTATGAGTTGATATGACACTATCAATTGCCCAACCTTATTTTAGACGACAAAATTGAGAAGAGGGCACACAACAATCAAGGTGTGATGCTCTAACTCCCTTGCAGCTGCACGTTCTGTCATTGGCAAAGCCACTATTGGACTAATGCCCACCCTAAAAAAAATAAAATTTGGCCGATAAAAAGGGTTCGAGGGGTCAATCGGGGTGGAAACCCTACCAAGGCAACCCTCAATTTTTTTAATAACATCACATATATATTTTTCTAAATAAAATTTAAACATATTCAATTGTGTCCACCTTATATTATTGTGTTGTTGTGATATTAATTAGGACAATTAAATTTAGATCAATGTATTATTGTAATATAATTTGGAGACTTAATTTGATTATCTAATGCATTGTGACTTTTATATTAAAAGTTGGTTTTAGTATTTAATGAAGTTAACTATCAATTCAATGGCCAAAATCCATCAGATATGCAAATTAGATACAAGTACAAATAGTAATATTCTTAACTTTTAGACATGTGTTCGAATAAGTTTTTGATATATTGGGGCTAGTTTGTATAGAATTGAGAGTCATTATGTAAAAAATATTGGTTCATAAATGGAAGAATAAGACCATGTGTGTTTTTTATGTGAAAATAGTTTTTTTTGATAGCATTGATTTGAAACGCTGTAAAAAGCAAATTGACAATAATTAATGATAAATGGCAAGTCATTTAAAGGATAAAAACTCTTTGGAGTCAACTATAAATGACAATAACTAAACTTATTTTTGGTAAAAAATTATAATTAGTTTCTTTTCTCATGTTTTTTATTTATACACACATTGTGTATATAAATTTTTAACCTTTTATGTTTAATTAACTTGTAAGTATCAAATATAATTTTAGTAAATATGAATGTATAAACTTCTTTAATCAATTGAAAAAAAAAATTAAAATTTATTAAACTGCCCACCCTAAAATAATTTCCTCGCTCCACCCCTAGTTGCCTTTCAACTCTTCTCTTTCTAAGCTAGTGGTGTTCTATACCATGTATATCAACCTAAAATGTGACATTGTTTGCAACAAAATAGGAAGGAATCAATATGTTCTTTTGAACATGTATAGAATCACACTGTTCTTTTGCCTTTAACTTCCTATGGCTGAAAATGCTTTATCACATCAGAAAGTAAGAATTATCAGTTTCAATTGAGTCTTATCATATCATTTTTGTCCGTATTGTTTATCTTTATGTAATTTTTCACGCTTCCTTTCATGTCTTTTTTTGTTAACGTCTCCTTCTAATGATACGAAGATGCGAGAATTCGTGGACGATACAGAGGACTACATCAACATCATTATGGATGACAAGCAAAACCAGTTGCTGCAAG